ATAGAATATCAATGTCTTAATCTAGTATTAGTTTTTTTTTCTTTTCAATGTGCTTTGCTGGTCATGATGCTAACTACCAATGTGTGTGGATTCCTTTTGGTCGTTCCATCAAGAATTATCAATAGTCAGTCCACAGGCCAAACAACATCAGAAAACCGCACATGCAAGTGCACATCAGCATCAATCAAAACATCAACGAGGTAAGTCCAGATCAGTGCCTCCTGAGAATCCTAAGGTAAAATGGTTACCATTAGAGGCACCAATCAGGGTCTTGGGAGTAATACTCACAGCTAGGGGGGAACCTAATTCTAATGATGTATGGATCACTTCCCCAACTTTACAAAAAATGAAGCAATGGAAAAATCAACATACTTCACTATTTGGTAGGGCTCTGGTTATCAATAACGTAATCTTGGTTTCTATCTGGTATAAATCTGCTTTGTGGTCAATAAGTAATGGATCAATCAAGGAACTTAGGAGGCAACTCACGACTTTCTTATGGCGAGGAAATCATGAAACGACACATGTAATCCCTATAGTGGCTTGGAAGGTTCTTATCCAGCCGAAGTTCAAAGGAGGACTGGGCATTTTGGATCCTTCAATCCAGTGCCAAACACTAGCTCTCCAATGGCTAAAACGACTAATATTGGCCACGGATCTAACCTGGCAAGCATTGGCACTGGAACAAATACGCAAAATGGCTCCACAAACTACAAAAGATGTCAATCCACTGATTTGGGTAGAGGACAGATACTGGTTCATTCCTCGACCACAATCACAATCTCAGAAGGAGGGGGATGGAGGGGTAGTAAGAAGAGATCTGGTTTTAGACAGTTTTTGGGCTAACCTATTGATAACTTTGCAAAATCTGCCTTTGCCAAACAAATCAATTCCTTCTAGGTATGAAGAAGTCCTACGCCAACCAATTTTTGGCAATAGATGGATCACGGATGCACAAGGAAGAGTGTTCATAAGTTCCACATCCCCATGGTCCACTTGGGTCAAGCATGGTGTAGTAAGGATCAAGGATTTATGGGACCCGGAAAATAAAAATTGGAATCAGTAAATCAACTGAGAAAGAAAATTAGATATGCACACAATCTAGCTGAAAACCTGGATTTAGTGATTTCATCCATTCCTTTGGTCTGGATAGCCGCCCTGAGAAAGGGTCCTATTTTCTTGGTTGCAGATTGGGTGTGTGCTCATCAAACGACGGGTTCCAGGGTAGTAGGACAAATCCTGGATATCCATACGGATGGCGCCCTGGTTAACATCTTTGCACTCCATAAGGACTTCTCTCTATCACAAGAAAATCAAGATAAGGTGAAATTTTTTCATCTTGACTCACTCCATAGAGTGAGAGTTTTGAATTGTCCTGTATCTAAAGGATGGACTATATATGCCCCGAATACTCCCCTACAGGAACTCCCCCTGGATCCAGCAGAATGGACCTGGCGCACCAACAGAAGATGCAAGGCTCATAAATTACAATATTTATCAGTCAAAGCCTCGTATCGTGTGTTACGTCCAAAGCTTGATGTTCTAGATATAATACGGGAACGATGGGCCCGACATTTAAATATATACACAGATTTGCTCACGCCAATTAAGTGGTGTCAAGCTTTCAGAGACAAACCTGCTAAATTTGCATCACTGCAATGACAGATTATTCATCGATGTTTGCCAACAAATGACTGGTTGATTGACCATACCACGCTGGAACAGAGGGGTGTAGCTCTACCGTGGTGTTGTACATGTATGGAAACCTTTCCTAGTAGGACAATTAGAGAGACAATCGAACACATTTTTTTGCAATGTCCGGGGGCGAAATTGTTGTGGAGGCGTTGGGATCATGTATGGAATAAATTGACAGGCTTAGATTGGCCTTGGGACTGGAGGGCGATCCTCCTGGGCCATTGGTGTCCTGTACTCATTTCCCTTTCAACCTTTCAACAAAATTTCTTTAACATTGGTAGAAAGGCCGTTTTATGGGCACTATGGTATAAAAGATGTGTAATTACGATGGAAAAGGTAAGGATTGAAGGAAAGGAAATGTCTGAGCTTGTTCAACAATTCATTTAAACAGAAATAAGATCCCAATGGGACAAGATTAAATCTAGACTTCACACACTACAACAAAAACAGGACATTAAGAAAAGAATTCAAACTTTCACAAAGAACTGGCTGGGTGACTCCTCAAGAGAAAAACAGGGAAAGGTAGAATGGCCAGGAGGGGAAGAAAATGGGAATCTCAAAAGAGATTATGAGATCACCTTCCAGGACTGGTTTAAGGTGCAGGCAGGAGCTACTTTGAGGTCCCCAGAAGCATTTCCAGACCTTTTTCCTCCTTCTGAGCTAGCTTTGGTGGATCTTCATTGGTTTGGAGGAGGGGAGGGATAACAAGATTCATTTCTCTTCATTATGTCAGCAAATATCTGTGTTCGGATTAGGCAGAACGGGATGGGTTTTGGAGATTGGGAGCTGCTAGCATTTAGATACGTATCTGGCGGCCAGCTTCTGACCGAAGAGGCAGCTCTCTCTCTTTCTGCCACCTCTCTCCTTGATCCATGGTTCAGTATATTATATGTAAGGGACGCTGGACCCGGTTTCCAGCAGGTGCAGCTCCCCACCAATAGAATGGAGCCAGTTTAAAAAAAAAAGAAAAAAAAATCCAGATCGGTGCCAATCAAAGGCCAAGACATGTAGTCCCACGTCAGCGCTCAATGGGACACATCATCCGACTATTCCTGTGGTTCCTCGTCAACTCGTTCTTGACAACCACAACGGTTCTCTCTCCCTGATGACACGTCAGCAATGTTTCTGCCAATTGGACAATGCTCTCACTAGTATGCCACATAGGCAATGTTGTTGCCAGTCAATATGCCACATCGGCAGTACTATCGCCAGTCAATATGCCACATCAGCACTTGTTTTGTCGTTCTCTTCAGTGCTTCTTTAATTAATGCGGCAATACTGGAGATTTATTCCCTCATGGGAACCAGCCAGTGAGTGCCACGTCAGCGCAGGCATATGGTGAAAACCACTCTGCCTTTGCCACGCCAGGACCCCTTCCAAAGAGAGACTTCCTGGCAATTTATTCCCTTGCGGAAACCAGCCACCGAGTGTCGTGTGGACACGAGCATATGGTTTCAAGTTAGAACCACTCTGCAGGTGCCACGTCAGCACTCTATCAGAGAGATATCGTCAAACTTGAATAGTGTGGTTGTCTTCAATCGAGACGCAAGTTGGCGTGAGTTCGCTCTGATACCAAATTGTGATGAGCCCAGTCTCGTCAAACAATCATGTCGTCAGATAGCAATGTTGTGAGATAACAATGTCCTGCAATGTCGAGATAATCATTCCGACTAGTCCATCAATTTGAAGTCATTGAAGTACATAATCCTTCATAGCCACGTGTAAAGTCTCCAAGTCAAGAGTATCCAGATGAGAACAGAGAGAGGGAAGAAAAGACAGATGGCAGGAGAAGAATATCGTAGCAATGAAGTCCCTCTTCTCCTCCAGGCTTCCCCACCTCTACCACGTCAGCAATTTGTACACAGTATGACACATGGATGATGTAAATGCAGCCCCCCACCGACGAGTGATACTTCAGCAGCGAGCAGTATCAGCAGCAGCATCACATCAGGTGAGACCAGGTACGTACACACGACATCACATCTCACCCACACACACTCTCTCTCCTCACTACCTCGCTGTCGTCTATCACCGCAGCAATGGCTGCCTTCCCTCTCTCTCCATCCTACTACAGTATGTAAAATGAGAGACAATTCACTGTAGAAGTGAAGGCAGCGTAGCTGCAGGCTGTCAAACTTCTAGCCTTGCTATATCCGTCCCTTAGCCACTAAACACCTTCAATCGACACAATCCTGCCATATTTCATGCCCACTTCGCCTCCAACCATTCGAGAGATAAGAACCCTTCTTCCCGTTAGTTCAATCACCATAAGTCCCCGTTTCCTTCTCAAAGCACGTATTCTCATTCAGCCTGTTTACACACCATCATTCCGCAGTAATTGCTCGAAAAAACATCATACCAGACCACATTCATAAGCCGCTATCACGACAACACAACAAGCTGCTTCCGCGCATGCGCAAAATAAATCCTCGTGAAAAAAGAAAGCATTCCAACATCGTTCCGCAGTCATTGCTCGAAAAAACATCATACCAGACAACATTCATAAACCTCGATCACGACAACACAACGAGCTGCTTCCGCGTATACGCAAAAGAAATCCTCGTAAAGAAAGGAAGTCCTCGTGAAAAATCAGAAAAAAACTCAAGTAACAGGTAGGAAAAGGAAACAATACAACAGTAGCGATAACGAAAACCCCCCTCATGCCATCGCTGTGATCGTCCCCATCACTAGCGGAATCAATCAGCAGCTCCGGCTATGGCGCCCCGACGCGTTTCGCCTCTCGCTAGAGCCTCTTCAGGGGGAACACTGACCCCAACCTTACGACTCCTCCTTCCCAGTCCACCAAACTTCCCCTGCCCTCACCATCCGACAGTCCCAAGACCCACTTGCGTACCGCCACCGCTCCGACAGCGCATCCCGGGTGCGTGTCGGCGGCTTTGGAGGATGAAACCGTACAGCAACCTGGTATATAACACCCTTTCCCCGTTCTATGCAAGGTTTGTCCGTTTCGAAAATGTTTTCTGTCAGAGTACTGTCTGAAAATCACTTACCCCTACAGCACAGTTCTTAACTACCATTGTCATCATTAGTACCCTGCAGATTCGTACCCCACTCTTAAGCCCCAAATTCCCATTCTCCTATGGTTCTACCGGAATATTCTAGGCCCGTATAATATCCCCGCCTACCCAGCATCTGATTATCCTCCCACCAATTATATCAAAAAATTTTAGAACGAGCCGGGCCTACTTATGCCCCGGGTTAGCCTAGCCTCTGGCTCATTCGTTCCAAGTCACCCTAATAACATAACATCCCTCGACCAACTCCCATAACTGCGTTACCACTTACCGCCTCCAGCTTAGTTATTCCCCCCGAACCTCCCCGACATACATCCAAAGCCCTACAACTCATCCTTGTTCACCACGTAGTCATCAACTCCACCATCAGCTTCCAAATCTCGTCCTTGTTCGCCGCGAAACGCCTGAGCCCGTTGTTGAAAAACTCGGGTGGGTAACCTTTCCCGCGCAGTTCTCTCTTCAGGGTAAGCACCAGAGGTAGCAGCTCCTCCTGCCGTGTAGTGTTGACATAGATCCTATTCAGCTCGCCTGTAATAACAACACTTTTTTTGCCGCCTGCAGGTCCACGAACTGAAGTCCTGGATTGTTTTGAGCACGGCTTGTTTTGCCAGATTTCAGCCATGTTCTTGTTTCTCTGGAAACAGCCCAGGTACGGCTGTTCGGCTTCAATTGTCAACTTACAACCGAGAAACTCCCAAACTCCCTCCTCGTCATCTGTTCTTTTCAGCGTCAGTTCCTCGTCATAGCATCCTCCGAACCTTCCAATAATCTCCTTACCATAATCATCACCATCCTTCTTTCTCGCCACGAATATCGAGACATCATCCATAAGCCGCATCCCGAAAACCCTGTTCCGTTTGTCACCCAACGTCGATATGAACTCGTACTCGGCCTTCATGCACAGGATACATGCCAATGGGGGGCTTGAGCTCTTCCCCATTGGTATGCCTATGACCTGTTTCAATATAGCGCCCGTAGCCTTTGTATAGGTAGGCTCTAATTCGAAAGCCACAAATCTCCGCACATTTGCGAAATCAACAGCCCACCATCCTTCTTCCTGCTTTCTATAACTTAATTTGGTACCTGTCCCTTGCTTTCTCACCTGCACGCTCTTGAAACCCCTCCCTTCACACCATTCACACATCCAGTCCAGTGCATCAAGGATAGCCGCATGGGGTAAGCGACTAAACATATCCTTGATGTCAAAGGATGCTCCTTCCACCCCCCATTCTGCACCTCTTCTTTCCACCTTGTTGTTGATCGTCCTTAGCCTCCTCCCTAGCTCAGATACCGACCCCATATTAAAGTGGCTCGATTCAAGAATGAGTTTCATCATCCTATTCAAGCACTTCGCCATCTTCCTGCAGATCTTACTCGTCGGTTCACTGAATGTAGGGCAGATTGGTCTGCTCTTCGTAATGTCCTTGTGCTTAGGGAGCACGTAAGCGTTTCCCATGGTGCCCTTCTCGTCCCACCCGCCCAGCTTTTCCAGGCCCGCCGACACAAAACCGTTCTTCCATTTCATCGTTACCTCCTCTTCCTCTTCCAAAAGAACCCTGTACCCTTCCACTCTGATGAACGTGCTCATCATAGCCTCGTGATACAAGGCCGGACACTGTATCAAGGTATCCCCTGCATTTCTGTCCAGAGGCATTTTTACCAAATCCCTCACGCTGTCCCTAAAGCTCAGGAACTACTTAGTCTCACTGCACTCCTCCTCAAGCTCAGTGCGTGTACATGTCGCCACTTCCGCGTCGCTGATTCGTAGCTCCGCCATATCGCACATCCCCCACTGTTCAAAGGCCAACCTGATCTCCGCCCCGAAATTTCTCCTCCTATGATCGATTAGCTGCCTCGGTACGTTTCTTGCGTTGAAGGAGATGGCCGGTGCTGTCTGGGCTTCTTCGATTCGGAATGATACGTGACCATCGATTCTCGTGGCACATAGTCCTGCACGTTTGCAGGTATCCACCGGCTTTTTAGCATGAGCACGGGGATTATGCAGCAGGTCACCGATAGTTGGATTCTTAGTCCAAACCACCCGTAACCTAGTCTGCACCATCCTCCGAGCTGCACCAGGCAAAACCACCTCACCCACCTTGCTCCTGGCTAGTCTTCTTACTTCTCCTATCCGTACCCTCTGATCATACTACAGTGTCTGGCTGGCGCCCACGAAACAGCCTGGTGGCAGCCTCCTCTTCCCAAGTCTCACGTGCAGCATCGAAGCCGCAAGCAACTCGCAAGACTGAATGTCAAAGCAGTGGCGAGGTCATCTCTATTCAGTGTTGACTCGCGTTGTCGGGGGTCAGCATCTGTCCATGTGAGGCCCTGGATCGTCCGAATGTCGACGGCTCAGATGCAATTTGTCCCAGTTTCGGTCTGGACTCCTTGAGGCCTGAATCTTCCAGAACCTGCAGACCACTGTTAGATCATTCCCGATTGGCGGCCAGTATGTGCTGACCTTGACTGCTGGGATCTGGGCCTGGGTCCATGAGCTGACTGTTGACATTTCGGGCAACTGTCGAACTGGGCCTCTTTCTAGGGCGTATTTTACCTTTTTTAAAGGGCCTGCCTGTTCGTGCTTGTCTGAGGGCGCAATCAGAGCCCAGCGGCTCAATTTTGGCACAGGAGTTACAGCAGTTATGCGAAGTCCGCGACGGTGATTCAACACATGATGCAAGGCGTCTGTAGGAAGTAATTATTAGGAAACATGCAGCGAGAGTTTTGAGCTGTAGCTTTTCTGTGGCAGCATATCCTAACATTCAATGCGATTGAATGCACGTCACATGCACTGGTGTGCCATTAAATGTGTTTTAACACGCCATCACACATACATGCACGGTAATAGATATGTAATATGTATATCTTTCTTCCCTCTTTTGATTACGATTTTCTGTGTCTGCGCGAGATCCTCTAAGAAGCACCAAATAGTCAGTGGCTGGTTGTTTGGGATGCCTGCAACACTGTGAGGGATGCTACAGTTTGCGGAATTTCTGTGGGTGCATGTTCCGTGGGTTATGAGAACTAATGACAGACGTTTGTCGGAGTGGCTTTGTGGCTCTGAGGGTGGTGGGAACCTACAGTTTGCGGAATTCTGCTTTATGGATTTACTGCTTTGGTCTGTATTGGCTGTGTGAAGTGTTTTGTGTGCGCTCTTCTGCTGCCTTGCTGCCCAACCACATGCCATGTCTTTCCTCGCAGCTCGTCTGTTCGTTATGTCAGCCTTATCAGTGTTGCCTTGTGTCTCTCCACCGTTGCTTTGCTGCCCATCTGCGTGCACTTTCTGTGCAGTTTGCTTGTGTGCCGTGTAGTTTGGCTGCTTTGTCAGCGCTGCCTTGTGCTTGACTGTGTTGTCGCGCTGCTTCCAATCCGCTTGCACTATCTTTCCATTCAAATTGCTTTTCTGTTGTCTAATTGGGCTGCCCCCTTAGCTCCACCTGGTGCTTTGCTGAGTCTTTGCCTTGCTGCCATGTTCCGATTGTTGTGTCAGCTGCTGGCCATCCAGTTTCAACAGGTATTAAAAGAGTTAATGACTCGAAGCATCAATATGGGGATACCACAGATTGTCGAGGGTTCATCAACTCCATCTTTCCAATGAGCCGGTGCAAGTCAGATGAAACAGTTTGTCACCCTCCGTTTTTGTTGCTCCCCCCCCTCCCCCCGGCCGAGTTTGATACTTGCACTTTTCTTGTCCTGTATTTTTCTGCGCTTTGTGACCCTCTGCCTTCAAGTTGCTGCCTTGTCTTTCTGCGCTCCTTGCCTGATTAGTTAGTTCCTTTTGCCGTCAAGTTGCCTATTTTTATCTCGATGCCTTTTGCCTTCCTGCCCTTGCGCTGTTTGTCTCGCTGCTTTTGGGCTTGCTGCCTTGTGCTGTTTGTCTTGCTGCTTTTGAGCTTTCTGCCTTGTGCTGTTTGTCTCGCTGCTTTTGAGATTGCTGCCCTGTCCTGTTTGTCTTGCTGCTTTTGAGCTTGCTGCCTTTTGCCTTGCTGATTTTTGCCTTGCTGCCTTTTGTCTTACTGCCTTGTCTTTATGTCTGCTGCTTGCCTGATTGTTTGGCTGCCTTTTGCCATGCTGCCTTTTGCCTTGCCACCTTTTTTGCCTTGCCGCCTTTTACTTTGCCGCCTTTTGCTTTGCTGCCTTTTGCTTTGCTGCCTTTTGCTTTGATGTCTTTTGCTTTGATGTCTTTTGCTTTGCTGCCTTTTGCTTTGCTGTCTTTTGCTTTGCTGCCTCTGTCAATGCTGCTTTAGTGCTACCCTACGACTCGCCTTGTTGCTTGCTTCTTCTTCTGTGCTTTGTGGCATTTGCATGACATTGTTTCAATTTGTTTGCTTTCCTTTCATGGCCATACCTGACTGGTGGCTCCTTTTCGAGTGTTGTGTTACAGCAGACTGTTCAATTCAACGTGCCATGGAAGGATCATGGAAGTCGTATCCCCTTGAAACACACACAAAGAAGAAGTAGAAGAAAGAATGAATAAAAGAACAATCCGTACATCTGAATGCACCGCGTGGCAGAATCTGATGTGCCCATCTCTCCCTCCGACTCTCTATTTCTCTCTCACACACACATCTGAGGTATGCTAACTCTGGGAATGTGGTGAGTCTTTATCTACCAGCCAAACGCATCCTGGGCAGACTGTCGGGGTTCAACCTCCTCATGAGTTGATGAAAGCCCGATGAAACAGTCTGGCACAGTCATGCTTTTTTTGTGGAGTAACAGTTGTGTCTAGCGAACATGACAACACACATCATAATGATAATAATAGTATCAATGGTAAATAATAATAATAATAAAAATAAAAAATAAGAATAAGAATAAGAAGAAGACAGAGGAAAAAAAGCGGCGTATATCTGAATGTGCCATTTGTGATAATTTTATGCGGCTATCTCTTTCCGTCTCTGTCTCTCTCTCTCTCTCTCTCTCTCTCTCTCTCTCTCTCTCTCTCTCTCTCTCTCTCTCTCTCTCTCTCT